TGTAGTTCGTGCGAACCGATTACCGGTGCATTTGGCTTTGTCATGCGCTGGGCCCACAGGCCCATTGGCGTGTGCAAACCGTGGGACCAACACGCTATTTGGTTCAATCCACTGCCAAAATCAACTAGCCAATATTACACTTGAGTCTTGGGCTTACTTATTTAAACCATACAATTTCATTGTAGCTTCCCGATGTGGAGACTAAAGTTGGGGTCTCATAATCACCCCACCTTACAAATTCGACGTCCTCGTCGCAACATGACAATTAGCACATCTCAGTAGGGCCAGATGATGTTGGCTCTAGAGGTGGCTCCGCTCTAAAGATGGCTCCCACCACGCTCACGCGATGTAGCACTAAGCTCCATATAGTACTTAGCTTCACATTTCCAGCTGGCAACTGTTCTGATACCATTTGTCATACCCCGGGACCGTGATACATGAATTCGTTTCGCAAAATTAGCGTACCGCTTACAAGTATACGGGGCACGAAGTCCCTTTCAGAGCCCATGTGCAAGACGCGATGCAACGTGACAATCCAGTAAAGGGAGAAAATAGAATATATGAGTGCATGACTTAATTGTAACTAAATATCTATGTTAATAAAATGTGAAATGAAGCCATGAACCCAACACGAACTATGTGAAAAAATCAAACAAAAAATTGAACTCCATAGTAAACAAGTATTTAAGTATTTGTATGAAAATAATATTAAAATGCATAATTAGTTTTCTAGTTTCTAGTTTTCTAGTATACATTCTAGAAAATTGTATACATACCCAAAAAAAATTACAATGCACCAACGACTGAACTTTGCGTATCGAAGCAAGCTACCCCCTCAAATCCAAATTTTCTAGGTGGCAACTTGCATACCAGAATTCGTACCATGATCTGCTACATACCGCATGTTGTGTACTTATGGCGAGAAGAAATATGTATGGAAAGATATGGTTGATGTAAACACATAAAATTGTTATGAGGAAAATGGACATATAAACCTACTGACAAAGAAAAAGAAATAACAAAAAAGAGAAAAGAAGAACAAAGTGAGAAGCATCATAATTTTTTGTAACCTCAAAGGATACAAGCAACAGTGTCACAATAAATCTAAAGCGATAGGTCTTCCATCATTGTTAATGGAGTACTTACCCACTTCTTTTCTAGTTCTAGGGGTATCAAGCAGGGAGACACCCTCTCCCCCATGCTTTTCATCCTGGCTGCAGATGTTCTAAACAAAATGCTCAAAGCTAGTGTTGCTTCAGGGGATTTGTCAGAATTATACCTTTAAAGGAGAACTACCTTTAAAGGAGAACTAATAACACCAGATCTCTTCAATTTACAGGTGATACCATTGTACCCTGTAAGACCACACATAAAGATATATACATACTTAAAACCATTTTCTTCCTCTTTGAGAATGTGCCTGGGCTAGGGATCAATTTTGCTAAGACTAGCCTTTTTTATTTTGAAAAATCCATCATCAAGGGGAATCAACTTGCCTCATCTCTTCAATGTACCCTTGATCATCCTCCCTTTAAATACCTAGGTATCCTTCCCAAAAAAGGTTCTCTCTGCCTCTCTGGGTCTGATTGGCAACCATTGCTCAACACCCTAGCTAAGAAGCTATCCATGTGGAAAAATAGACAATTATCCATTGGTGAAAGTTTAACTCTCATTAACTCTGTTCTTACTTCTATCCCCCTCTATTTTCTGTCATTCTTCAAACTGACTGCTAGCTTATCAAAGAGATGGACAAAATTAGACAAATTAGACGTAATTCCCTCTGTTGGAGTGACTCTTATGTTAAAGGTAAAGATCTAGTAAATTAGAAGATAGTGTGCAAGCCCAAAGTGGAAGGAGGTTTGGATATCCTCAACCTAACTATATTCAATGAGGCCCTATTATCTAAATGGATGTGGAAATTCCTCAGACAAGACTCTCTAGTAGGTCAAATCCTCTCTACTTCTCATAATCATCTTTCTCCTCTCACTAGTTGTACACCACCTAGGGGTAATGCATCTGAGTTTAGACATGACACAATCATTTCTAGCCAAGCCTTTCTGTCTCTAGTTCAATGGAAATTGGATAATGGGCTATCCACACATTTTTGGGAGAATACATGGACTGTTTCTAGCTCCTTATCTTCCTTGTTCCCTTTGGCTTTCAAACCTGTTCTCTCTAAAAATGTCAGTGTTAGATCTCAAGGCTCTATGCTTCGTAACCAATGGCATTGGAGGCCTCTCCTTCGAAGGCCTTTATCCACTAAGGAGATTCAAGAAGTTTCAGACTTGAAATCCCTCCTATCTAACCACAATGGACCTATCTGCAGTGTTATGGATGAAGTCTCTTGGCCTCACAACTCTTTTGGCCACTTCACTGTTAATTCTTTATACCACATCCTCTCAAGTGGAGTAATCAAATGTGTTGCATACAAATCCATTTGGAAAAGTTTCCTCTCGACCAAGGTTAATATCTTCTTATGGCTGCTATATAAGCATAAGCTACAAACTAAGCACGGGCTGGACAGGAGACACAGCATGTTCCCTCTGTCAAAATGCAGTGGAGACATACTCCCATTTGTTCTAGGAATATATCATTACCAAAGAAGCTTGGAAACCTATATTGCAAAAGCTGCGTTTGAATATCAGTAATCTACATTTTGACTACATTCTCCACCCTCATGGTTCCATTGTATCTAACACACAACATCGTCAGTTGTGGCTTACTCTCTTCCCAACCTTTTGCTTTTGCCGATGCCTTTGGAGAGCTCGTAATGAACTAATTTTTAGACAAACTCCTATCACTTCTCAGCAATTAACAGCTAATGCCACCTTCTTCACTATATTCTGATTAGGTAACACAGTAAGGAAGCAGGCAGCACAGATTCATGTGGCAGCCAGTCAGCTTGGACTGGAAGAACTTCACAAAGCAACCTTCGATATGGTGGGGGATAACTTCTGAGGAGTGAGGAGTGCTTCGCCATTTGGGTTTTTGCTTGTAAACAAAACTAGTTTATTGATACTTCTAAACTTGGATGCATTATGCTTAGTTTAGTAGGTGGAGCTTGAGGCCAACAAGCCTGCTCTCAGCTTTTTGTAATTATACTTGTTTGCAGTTTGACTTGGGAGAATTGGTTCACTCCCGATTTAAGTTTCAAATGATGTCTAAGGACCTCTCTTTTATCTTGGCGTGAGTGAGCCTTCCTCCTAAGTGATGGCAATGTTCCTATCTTTCTCCTCATATACATATCTTTTGAATAGGGCGTTTTGCCCTATTTTTTTGTCAAAAAAAAAGAAACTAAACACAAGCAAGCATGGACAAAACCAAACGAATATCTAAGACCGAACGTATAAGACAATCCTGAATTAGTTGCTGAGAATAAGGACCCATGAATTATCAAAACTAAGATAAAAGATTATAGAATCTGTAAGGCGAATCTGAATTTAAATTAGCATCTATGATTGTATTGTGTGCGTGGGTGTATAAGAAGACTAAACATAGGGGGCAAAGAAAAATCATGCAAACAAAAACAGACTTATTTGCACATCTAGATGTACAAATATTGCAACTATAACACCATAACAGAGCGTCTTATGGTAACACAGCGTCTTAACGAAACAAAACCAAATGAATAAGGAAAATTACCACGTGGCTTTTATGTTGCACATGGTTAATTCCAGCATACTAGCAACAACTGAGATTACATGCTACCTAATAAACTATTGAGAATGGCTAGGAATCATTGTACTCAAACTGCAATTTACTCAATACTACAAACCGCTACAAGAACCACCAGAGTAAAATTTCAGGAATGTACTTTAAGTACAGTTATTGCGCAAATTAGGCTTAATATTGTAAAACGCTTCATGAACTATGTTGAAAAGTAAAAACTGCATTTCCACTACAAACAAATCAAGAATTACCTCAGTAATATATTTTGAGTAACTATCTTCCATAGGATATTTCTCGCTAGCAAAAAACAACATGTGCTCTGCACGAAAGATTGAGAAAATGAAACTTCCTGAATGTCAAGAGCAATATGATATATTTGTTTTGGTTGATGCCCAAAAAAATCAGAATACAGTTTAACAGCAGAATACAAAGCATAATCATGATCTGATATGGCGTTAATAGCACTTGGTCAATAGTTCAACTGCATTAAATAGTTTCGTACCACCCTAGCTGTTCCATTAGGATTAACCGAATCTATTATATAATGCTAAGGAGGTGTTCTCGGTGATAACAGGACTAAAATGTCTACCTGGCAGATATTTCTTTGACGTTTGTTGATTAGTTTCTTACTTTTATCGTAAAGAAAAACGTGGTTTCTAAGGAAGGAATGACTGGCACTTGTTTGATTGGGAAAAGAGGGTCCAAATATTGTAGACCTGGATCTTTCTATCTTCATTTTGTTGTGAAGTAATAGTGAGTGAATCAAGTTTCTCAGGTCCCAGAATAGTTTGGAGCCTTCATCTGATTCTGATGCCTAAAGAAGCGAAAATTTACAAAATCTATACCCAATCCATCAAAACAAAACCATATCCGGGTTTAGTACAATCAAATAAACCTCAATCAACTTCAACGAGTTACCACCGAAAGGGCATTTAAATAATGTGAGTTCTAGATCATCACTAACAATTTTATGTTAGTTGGGAGCTCTAAAGAAATTTTTGATACTCCCAACACTAAATATAGGTTTTAAAAGCCTGCCAGTTGTGGCATACAACAGACTTCACCATGAACGTCACCTATGACCTTTTTTATATGAAGGGCGCTAGAGGTCCATGCACTTCCTCAGAGACTTCCTGAGTCCTACTCAGTGGAATATGGAGGTACTTATGGCAGAACGGGCCGATCTGGTCTTTCACAATAAAGTGATAGATGGAACTGCTATGAAATGACTTATTAGCAGATTAATAGATCATTGAATGGATAATTTCGGAATGGCACATACATCACATATCCTAGATCAAGTGAAGACTTTGGGTTTACGGCAAGCCACTGCTACATCTATTTCATTAGGGATTGATGATCTTTTAACAATACCTTCTAAGGGATGGTTAGTCCAAGATGCTGAACAACAAAGTTCTACTTTGGAGAATGAATCAAATCAGATGGTTTTATTTCTCACGATGAAGATCACAGATAATGATTATTTCAGAGGAAATTTTATACATATATACATATATATACATAAAGATTATGTGTGTGTGTGTGTGTGTATTCTTTGTGCAGCATATTCTTAGTTTCAACAGGATATATTCTAGTAACATTTTAGACTCAAACATTAAAAAATGACCGCTTTTAATTGGCTAAATTGATTATATTTGTAATTTAAATGGAACGGAACTTGCCTAAAAAGTGAGCCAAACCCTCGAGGCCATCAGGATCGCTGAAATATCCAACCGAAACCACCATTGAAGCAGCAGCCTGCAATAATCCAAGGAGAAAATTAGGGCAAAATAATCAACAATACCATAAAAATTTTATAGACAGAGACAGAGAAAGAGGAAACCTTATCAGTATCGGGATCGCTGATGAGGAGAGCCTCGAGGGAATTCGAGAGGACGATCCTCCTGTACGCGCGCTTGTCGATGCGAGGCTTGAAGATCTCGACGTCCGTCGCTGATTTGCCCACCGCCATTTTTCTGCTGCTGGGTTCAGCTTGTGAGGATCAAAGGGGACGTCCTTTCGAGCGTGAAAGCCGAGGATAGTAAGAAAGAAACGGGCGACGTGTATGCAACGGGTTTGGGTTGGGTGGATCCGGTTGGGGTTGGGCTCTTGTTAGTTTATTATAGGTTTTGTTTAAATCTTTCCAATTTCGGATTAGCCCCTCCAATCATTGAAATTGCTATTTCGCCTCTCAGTTCTTAATTGTAAGTCCCTCCGATTAAATGTAGAGCTAGCAATTAGACACGCCAACTTTAATTAAACAACGTATGAGAATTGAGGTACTCAGCAGCAATTTTAGTGATTTGAGGGACTACTTCAAAAAATGAAAAATTCAAGAGACTAATATCCAAAAAAAACCTTTAATTAGTTACGTATCATAGGTTAAATGAATACACTCGGATCCCAAGCTCGTTAAAGATCATAAGAAATTCATGGTTATTGACGATACTCATGTGGACACAATGAGTACATGATGACCACATCAGTATGTGACATGAGACCAATGTCAAGAGGCAAGGGGATAGAAGTGGAGGATCTAATATGAATCCAACCCATAAATTTTCTTTAAAACCATATACTTATATAGTTTATTGAGTTAGATATACATTATAGAAATAATTTGTATAAAGCAGAAGGTTAGAAGAAAGCATATCGATCAGACATTTGTTGTTGGTTTTTTTTTAATAAAGGAAAAGTTGGTTTTTTAAGCTAGCCATGTGTTAGCTGTTAGTTGTTTTTTTTTTTTTGTGGATAGCACTAGAACTTTTGCTTTCTTTTAGGCACGTAAAGGGCTGCGTTTGCACCGCCTATGTATTTATGATCGCGGTAAATGACAATAATGGTGCTCTCTTCACTCTCATGTTTCCGTACAGGCAGAAAGTTCTTTATGGGGAGTTAGTCATCTAGAACTTAAAATTGGAACTAGAATAATCTGTGGGATGAATTTTTAAGGTGTTAGTCATATAGAACTAAAATTAGAACAAAATTTTTACAGTGTCAGTCAAGTAGAACTCTAATTATTCCTAGTCAAGTAGAATTGGGATAATGGTACAAAATTATCCCACTTTTTTATTTTTTTATACAAAAATGAGAATTCTAGTCTCTCAAATTATTCCTAGTTTTAGCTTGGAACTAAATTGTGAAAAACTAGAACTCATTTTTTTTTGTTATTTTTTATTTTTTATATTTTTTTCTTTGCCTCTTTCCTATTACGGGTTATCATCATTATTAGACCATGATTATAATAATAATTATCAATAACTTATAGTTTAACTAAAAGTTATTTAATTAATAGTAAAGAACATTCTTGTAAGCAATTATCAATCAATGATAGTAAGTTTAAAATACATAAATAGTATTTATATCTTCAAAATGCATAAATATATATGTCATGATTATAACAATTTATCCCACATTATTTTATCAAAATATCATGCTTCACAAAATTGTTCCTATTTATCCCACTAAAATATCCTACTAGAGAAAAATTATTCCACATTAACAATTATCTCATTTTGCATAAAATGTCCCAATTGACTAACACTCTCTACCTATTTGCAGAAGAAATATCTAGTTCTTTTGATATTCACTTGGTAGACATTCTGGTGTCCTTCATGTATAGAGGTCTTTTGACATTTTATACATACTAATATAATGCACGTGGACATACTATTTTGGGAAAAATGTGTGCAGTCCCCAAAAACAGAAACTTCATGTGACCAACCCCCTTGTATTTTCTCTCATGTGGATAAGCCCCAAAAAGTAATGTTAAATGTGTCAAGGCCCCAACATGTTAGCAGTATACAAAATAGAGATTATATTTTAAAAAAAAAACCCAAATTGCCCTTCTCCTTCTTCCCGAGACATAGTCCAAAAGCATAGAAAGTCACGTCATCCTTCTCTCTCTCTCTCTCCCTCTCTCTCTCTCTCCTCTCTCTCCCTCTCTCTAAAATAAAAGGCAACAACGAATAAAATGTTAGCTCTGGTATGTGGTGAAAACAAAACCAGAAAAAGGCAACAACGGATGTGCTGGAGGTAGAGCTAACGCCGGAGCTCCGCTAGCCTCTTCTCTTCGTTCTTTCCTGCTCTGTCGCCGTCGAAACCCTTCTCATGTCTCCGCTTGTCCTCTTCCACGACGATTTCCGCTAAGAAACGTAAGGATGCTGGCGTCAGTAGATTGGAGCTTAATATCTACGATTTCATGGAGAAATCTGAGAACCCGAGTGCGTTTTTGACGAGGGATGAGCTGATTTCAGGCGGGAGGCTGGGTTTGGCCGAGGAGATTCTGAAAGAAGGGGACTAGCTCTCGTACGGATGGACGAAACCATGAGAAGAGAAGGAAGCCGTCGAGATCTCTGAGCAGTGGTCGAATGATGGTTTATTGGAGGAGGATTCTTCGTCTTCCTCTTCTGGTGATCTGATATGAGTGAGTTCTTAAAAATTTTGTGTTTTTGAGATTTCTGGTTTTCTTGTTTCTTGAGCTCTTCTTTTGGTTGTTATTGTAAAGTGGGGAATGTGAGGTTGAAGTACAAGGTGAAGGACGTGGAGGGTATGATTGGGGAGTTGTTTGGACGAAGTGATGTGAGGTTGAAGTACAAGGTGAAGGACGTGGAGGGTATGATTGGGGAGTTGTTTGGACGAAGTGGAAAAAGATGAGGGAGAAGTGATCCATTTTGTTCTATGTTATTAGCCATTGTATTTACTAGTGTTTAGGGGTTGAACCCCATCAAGAATCTGTATAATGTTTGGTTAATTGCACATAAACCTCATGTGTTATAGGGGGCCTTGTCATTTGTTGTCCCTGAGCCATGTATTTCCTAGAGAACAAGCTGTTTGAACTAGTTCATGTTAGTTCTAAATCAATTCTTACGTATTTTGTATTTTGTATAAGATTACTTCTCCACAAAATATAATGAAAGCGAATGTTGTGTTCTTACGTGGCATAAGCTGGTCCACCATAATAAAGATACATACTAAATGCTTGTTTTAAATTCTCTACATGACCAGCTTTTAGTCATAGAGATGGTATAAAATATAACTAACTTAGTATAAAATAGAACTAACGTGGTGTAATTTAGAACTAACGTGATATAAATAGAACTAACGTGGTATAAATTAGAACTAACATGGTTAAAATTAGAAGTAACTTGATATAAAATAGAACTAACGTGGCATAAAATAGAACTAACGTGGTATAAATTAGAACTAATGTGGTTAAAATTAGAACTAACTTGGTATAAATTAGAATTAACTTGGTATAAATTAGAACAAACTTGGTTAAAATTTTAGAACTAACTTGTTATAAAATAGAACTAACTTGGTATAAATGAGATATAACATGGTATAACTTAGGTTTATAACGTGGTTTAAATTAGAACTAACATAAATTAGATATAACGTGGTATAAATTAGATATAACGTGTAATAAAATAGAACTAACAAGCCATCACACGCTACAGAATAGAACTAACATTGTGCAGATTAGAAATAACACGCTACAGAATAGAACTAACACTGTGCATATTAGAACTAACACGCTACAGAATAGAACTAATACTGTGTAGATTAGAACTAACACGCTACAGAATAGAACTAATACTGTGCAGATTAGAACTAACACTCTACAGAATAGAACTAATATTGTGCATATTAGAACTAACACTCTATAGAATAGAACTAACGTGGTATAAAATAGAACTAAAATAGTATAAATTAGAACTAACTTGTTATAAATTAGAACTAGCGTGGTATAAATTAGAACTAATGTGGTATAAATTAGAACTAACGTGGTATAAAATAGAACTAACTTGGTATAAATTAGAACTAACGTGTTATAAAATAGAATTAACGTGGTATAAATTAGAATTAACGTGGTATAAATTAGAACTAACGTGGTTAAAATTAGAGCTAACTTGGTATAAAATAGAACTAACTTGGTATAAATTAGAACTAATGTGGTTTAAATTAGAACTAACTTGTTATAAAATAGAACTAACTTGATATAAATTAGAACTAACTTGGTATAAATTAGAACTAACATGATATAAATGATATAAATTAGAACTAACTTGGTATAAATTAGAACTAACATGGTATAAAATAGAACTAACTTGGTATAAATTAGAACAAACTTGGTTAAAATTTTAGAACCAACTTGTTATAAAATAGAACTAACTTGGTATAAATGAGATATAACATGGTATAAATTAGGTTTATAATGTGGTTTAAATTAGAACTAACATAAATTAGATATAACTGTTTGCGGAGAAAGTTGCTATTTTCATTGTTATCGAATCTATTACAACTTTAGTCGTTACAATAAACTCGAATGAAATAAAAAGTTGATCTTTTTATAAGATCTCCTTACACAATGAAAATAAAAAGTTTACAACTTTATCAAACAAACGCAGAGATCATTTATCGGCCTTCTGCTTGCGTGGGATCTTCGCCTGTGCCGGGGTTTATCCGTGGACCACCGTCGATCAGATCTGATTACTGAAAAAATTGGGCAGAGCTTCATCTATCCGCGAAGGGATCGAGAGAACTGTAGCTCTTATCTCGGCGAAGCGAGATAATCACTCTTCTTAAGATTACCACAACGGGATAATCCTAAGGAACGAACCCGGGGAACTGCAGATCTGAAGAATCTCTCTCTCTCTTGCGTTAAGGGATCGAGAAATCGTAGCTCTTATCTCGGCGAAGCGAGATAATCACTCTTCTTAAGATTACCACAACGGGATAATCCTAAGGAACGAACCCGGGGAACTGCAGATCTGAAGAATCTCTCTCTCTCTTGCGTTGAAGAACTCGATCCGATCTCTCCTCCTCCTCTTTGAAATTCGTGCACCTTCAGTCTTCAATCCGGCAGGGCTTCGCCTAATCTCTAAAATTCCAGATCTGAAAAAAATAAGGCCTAAGGCTTGTATTTATAGGCTTGAGGGTGATTCCAAGTGCGTTGGAAAGCTGACGAAGAGTTCTATAAGCTCCAATGATTATATCATCAGTTGAACAAATGAGACACGAAGGGTATTTCGCCGTTTGTGAACGATACGAGGTTCCCGATCAGTTCGTATCTT